ATTATTACACGTTATTTTTCAATGCAAGCGTGACACATACACACACCCACATTTCCATGTGTGGTGGCATATAAATAAAGTTAAGGCATGTAGTGTTCCATTTGCTGCGGCCAGCATATGCCTTGTTGCATGCTTCCTGCACTGCTGCGTGCCACTAAAATTTTTCGTCGATGGCATGCTAAGGCGGTCTGACATTGGCATGCAACACTAAACTATTTCTTATCCTGTTGCCGGCGTAATGGTATTCCTACAAGGGCAGGAAGAGAAATGCAATATACCAGCAAGAAGCGTCAACAACAATAATAGCAATAACAACTGGGTAGAAAAGACAAGCTGAGGGTGGAATAAATAAGAGAAATATGGCTCATAGATATATTTTGCATTTGTTAATATGTGACCATACTATATAAGTATATATATATATACATATATGAGTATATATGTACATACATGTATGAAGAAGTATGTATTTTCAGTTAAGCTGTTCTGTCCTGCCGTTCCCGCCTTAGCTGCCACATAAATAACTATATCCATATGTTCCCTGCCAGCTGCTGTCTGTCTTGGCGGCTTCTTAGCTTAGTCATCAGCATTGACTTCCACCCGACACTCGTTTGTGCTTATGCCTGCGTTGCGTTTCTTTCCTTGAATTTTCCCTAAGTTCTTTGCTATGCTCGTATTTTCTTGGCAATTGTAATTTACGTTAAATCGATGCGTTGTGAAACCATAGAAATGTTTATCGTTTAATTTAAAACATAAACATTGTAGTGCAATGAATAGCTTAGCATATGCCCTGGCGCAAAAGCCATTGTAGCGGGTCAGAGGGTGCTCAATGTGTTAGCCAATGTGAGACAGCAGCTGGCGTGAACACTTAAAGTGTTTCAGCGTGGAAAGACTAAATTATAAACAAACTTTTATTTAGGCAAAGTTTGAAGTCTAACTTGAGTTTAAACTTAAACGTATAGCTATACTTATACTCATATTTATACTTAAATTAACACTAAAACTTAAGCTTAAACTTAAATTAAACTTAAACTTAAGATAAACTTAAACTTAAACTTAAACTTAAACGTGAACTTGAATTTAAACTTAAACTTAAGATAAACTTAAACTTAAACTTAAAGTTAAGCTTAAACTTAAACTTAAACTTAAATTTAAAGTTGAACTAAAACTTAAAGTTAAACTAAAACTTAAACTTCAACTTAAACTTAATCTTTAACTTAAACTTAAAACTGAGGAACTACTAAAACAAGTAAATCTGTTAGACAAACCCCTAACCATTACACTCACGATAAGGAAAATTACATGATGAATAATTCCATACATTGCCTTTGTTCTTTTAAATTTTTTTTTGTAATAAGCAGACGGAAATTATATCCTTAAATAAGATCGAAAATGTCATTAACAGGAATATAGGGATTTCCGTCTTTATGATGGCCGTTAAAGTTAACTAGGGTTATCAGCGTTTGACTCAAAGAAGTAGCAAATTTATGTTGATTAGTTATAAAGATATAGAACACATTGGTAAAGGTCGAAAATAGTATTCATAATGGAATGTGTGGACCAAACTAGAATTTCACTAAAGCATGTCCATCAAAGCGAATTGCGATGCAATTAATAAAATTTTTGAAAAGGCGAGTATATATTAAGAGTCCTCAAATACATAAATATCATCTTAACCGTAGTCAAGCTTTGGCTGAGAGATCTTCAAATACTTTTGAAATTATCTGTAAAACTTCTATCGCAGAGACGAGGAATAGGTAAAACTACTTAAAACCTTCATTGCTTCAACAATGGAACACTTTTGTTTATAAAAACATCTCAGAAAATCAATCGCTATACAGTAATCATCAAACAGAGCAGAGCTTATCATAGAAAATAGGGAAGTAGAATTCAATAATTTCCTAAGAATAAGAGAGACCGAGTTTTCTTGAATTTCAAAAGAGGAAAAACTGATTTATAGTGATTTGAAGAATGAATAGTTTGAATATTGTCAGATGTCGTATAAAATATGGATCATTAATTTGTTGGAAAGCGACAAAGAGAGAAGGCATTTAAAGAGAGCAGAGGAATATTTTTCAGTACAAGATTTGACAACAATAAATATACATGCTTAAACATAGCAACTAAAATTAGAACTGGAGTTCACTTCAAGTTTGAGAAGCATTCCCGATTCTTTTTACGATTCATTTACTTGCGGCATTACTTTTATACCCTGCCATAAGAACTATTTTATCGCTCTATTTACTCTCTCCACACACTTCTGTTTGTAACGACTCACTTAATTACAATGGAATAAAATGTGACAGAAGTACTTTCGAAAGTGTGCACTGCGGTCCTTGACGACAGCCAAAAGCGGTCACAGCCGAAATGCTGCCGAACAATATAAAAAAATCAGCTGAGAATCAGGCGACAAGCAGCACTCAACAGCCAAACGAACCGACGGCTACAAACAGTTTGTGACTCGTAAGCAATTTCGATATTTGATCATTAAAACTTTGCGCCATTTCCACCTTTTCCGTTTATACACACACACATATATTTATATATACATATGAAAAATCTACACACACACACACGAAGTAACCAGCAATTTGCAGATTGTTTCAGGCTTACACTGTGGCTTTCATTTTCGCTGACTTTCTACAAACACATTTTCGCCTTCATATACACATACACATGTTCTGGGGCACGACTGCTAAAGTTTTGCCTGCAACGCCTTTCAACTCTTTTGCAACTGGAATTTTTAAGTTCGCCCATTAATTCGCTTAAGTATTTACTTAAAGTGCCAAAGTGGAGCGAACAATGCGCGAAAAGCCCGCCGGTGCGCCGGTGCACCGTCCCGCAAAAGTAAACAAAACCGCCAGACAATAACCAATAAAAATAAGCAAAGCAGCAACAACAGGCGACCGCAACAACAACAACAACAACTGAGTGGCAGCCCGAGTAGTGAAACGGCTGTGGGCTGCCGCCTGTATGTGACGAGCAAGCAACAATCAGCAGCAAGCAACAACAAGAAGAAGAATAGCAAATGCAACAACAACAATGAAACTTATTATCGACGAAACAAATTGTGCAGCACTAACAAACTGCCCATTAATGTAATCAGGCAAAGTTGTAAACAAACTAACAGCAACTTGCAACACAGTCAACCGAACAATGTGGCAACTAATGAGATGAGAAGAATTTTAACACACACACACACACATCTATAAACAGGCGCACCGACAGGCGGTAGTCAACAGCAATTGCAGCAACAAACCACAATACATGTAATTTGTGAATATATATGTGTGTGTGTGCACAGCAACAATGTATATATATGTATGTATGTAAGGCAAATAGGCCTACTCAGATATATACATACATACATAAGTATAGCTATGATGTTGTTGTGTTGATTTCGTCAATTACAACAACAAGAAGTTTGAAATTTTGCACACGCCAGCGAATTAAAATGCATTTTCCTGCCACGCCCACAGCGCCAAATGCAAATCTGCGAAGTGTACAAATATAACTGTATTTGCTAAAAATAAAAACTGTTGTGCTTGCGGCAAAAGTTTCTGTTGGGATCCAAAGTGAGCTACGGCGTGTGAGCACCACTGATCTATACAATACAGAGGAGACCTTGTTGTTGTTGTAATGATCATATAATCCCCGCTTGGGTGGTAAGGCTCAGCTTAATTGTCGTCGAAGTCATCTAACGGTAGGCCCAGGAAACGATCTTTTTCGACAAGGTCGGACCATAGAGAGATAGGTGTTAGATGGGTTGGGTGCAGTATTCTGGCATGTCTGAAGCTTTTTCGTGCGCGTTACACTACATCCAGGTGACCACATCGATGCGATTGCCTTGTATGTTACCAACAGCGTTTCTTTTTCTTTTCCCCATGAGCTGCCGGCAAGCGACTGGAGCTTTGTACTGTGGCAGTTAACGCGGTCGTATGAGGGGTAAAGGAGCACAGGCTATCAAATTTTACACCTAAAATCTTAGGGTTATTGACCGTCGGAATTGTAATGACATCGACTGTAATGTTTAGATCCAGTCTGTACTCCTTCGTTTAGTTAGTGAGTATGGTCGCTGTGGATTTTGTGGAGGAGAGTGTTAGGCTACTTGCAGAGAAGAGGAGAGAAAGGTCGGAGAGGTAGCCGTATACTTTACTTTACAGAGGAGACCTTCTTTTCAGCCACTTCCACCCTCTGTTACCCAATTCGATATTTTCGAAGCCGCATTGTAAGGACCACATGTTCTTTCCGAACGCTGTGTTGTGATTTTCTAATATGGCATCGCTAACTGACAAAAGATTCACAATTTTTTTTGTCGAAACTTGCTCTCGGACACCGGGACGCTATCTCATTGTATGCTGTATTATCTTCTTATCCTTGTTAACTTTAGACCAGTTCGTTTTGCCTCTTTATTCCAGAAGATGAAATAAACACCACAAGCATTAGGAGGAAAGATACCCACAGACGACAAGGGTTTTAATTTTATATCAAAAGCTTCACTCATTTAGCCGTATATAAGATTGTAATCGAGTCTTTTCGGTTCTCATTATTATATTTTTAAAGCACATAGAAGTTTAGTGATATATTGGCATTAAATTCAGATTATTACTTAAACCTTAAAGAGTTTCTTTTAAAGTAATAACTGTTACTATATTATTGTCTTATAGCTGCAGTCTTCGATTCATCTGACCTAGTATCGAACACACATCTGGTATAAGCGCAAAAGACTGACATAACTAAATAGGGAAAGTTAGGTTATAACACTTTTGCTGTAAGGTATTCTCATGTTCTCTCGATTAAATTCAACTATATAACATCATTTTTGTTTTCACTTATTATATAATATAAAATTTTTGACTAGAGGACAGCGCTGAAACACAACTAGCACAGAAGTGACGAATCGAAGACATCTCATTGTAGCTAATATCATTTTTTTCAATATTTTCTGATAACTTGTACAATTGTATATGGTTTAAGACAAAACCGGTATTTTAACTTACCGAAAAGAGTTAGTTAGAAGGGCGTTTGAAAACTGAAAGTAAAAAAGAAATTTATATATTATTTTAACTGAAGTGAATCGATTGAATATTACAATACATATAAGTTGTTGACAAAACATTTATACAGATATGTATATATATATCATAATGATTATTGTGCCATTGTAACTAGCTGATCCAGATTTCCTGCCATGTAATAAATGAGCTCAGATGCGCCATAATATATCTCAAGAAAGGGAATTTTATCAGAAAAGTTCAATAAATATATTGAGCAAATTTTATTTGAAGAATGAGTAAACTCTTTGTACTGAAATTTATCTTGAACAACGATGACTTATAAGAGCTCACGGTATTGCTCCCTCTGATCAGCCGAGGTATCAGGTACAAGCTAAATATAATCCAAAGATTAAATACAAACAAATTTTTAATTTCGTTGTGATAGCCTAAGTTTGCCACAAAGTGTGCAACCACCAGATGAAAACGCCTTAGACCCCTTGAAGCATATATATGTCTATAGCTGCCATACAAGCTTATCGATTAAAGTCAAGTCCTTGTGTGGAAAACTTTTTTATTTGACGAGATATGTTCACGAAATTTACTATAGATTTTTTCCAAGGCAACTCTACAATCCGCGAACATATAGTTTAGTACGGACCACTATAGCATATACATAGCTGTCATACAAGCTAATTGATCAAAATTAAGATAAACATCAACATAAAATATATTCTTTTATTACTAGTTGAAGATTTTGTATATCAAACAGCATATAATTCTTAAAAATAGATCAATAATTATTTAGTATATGTATATACTTTGTAACATGTTCAAAGTAAACACTCGCGTTTATTGTTCGAATTCAGATAGCAGGTCTGTATCCTTCACATTCCATACCGAAAACTGCATATAATCTGGGAAATTTTTGTGTTAACAACATCAAATGCAATACATGCCTATATTTCAGATGAAATGCTGCTCATCTACACACAAACACACACGAGCACGCACTAAAGCACAAAAATATATCGTCGTATTAAGCAATAACTTTTATGAGATATTTTCGAGATTCCACAAAATTTCCACATTTATTGGTAGCTAATACAAATATTTATGGCCGCAAATAGTTCAGCTGAGTCGTAAAAATTTCAAAAAAATTTGCTACACCAATCAAACCGCCTGTAAGTGCGCTAAATTAAATCTAAGCATGTATACACACACACACACACACACACATAAGCAGCAACGTAAAATTTATGAAGTGTAAATGTTGAAATGCTGTAACGGTATTTACGATAAATCGAGTGTAGAAACGCAGACCACCGGCGGCCTCGCACAAATCTTCTTAGTTAATTTCCCAAAATTGCGCCACTTTTATGCGCTAATTACGCGGCGTAAATAATAAATATACGCAATAACGGTACATACAAACTTGTGGTCAGTGTTTACGATATTAAAAAATATTCTTTTTTGTGCGTTTTATGTTTTTAAGCGAGTGACCAGAGGTAAGTGGTAAAGTTAAATTACTGGTGCATTTTAAAACTGGCAATTGGTGAGCAGAAAGGCGTTAAAAAGCTTCAAGTGGAGTGGGAAAATATACGAATACTATATATTATATACACACACAAGTAATAAAAATCGATTTTAAGTATGAAAAATCAAAAAAGCGAGACGTGAAGCATTTAAAATACTCAACGAAATCTTCCTTCAACACTTGCGGGTGGCCAACGGGTCATGCCAAATGCCACACATGCTCACAAGCGTGTGTTTAAATGCCGCTGCAATAAAAGAAATAATTTATTAAAAGTGCATTTAACAGCCGCATGGCGGCGCAGTCGACGCCGACGTCGGCAATGGTCCAGAAATGGTGCGTAATTGCAAAATCGGCTGATATTGTCGGTCAACCGCAGATGCCTAGTGAAATGCAACGAAGTGTGGAGAAATATATGGTTATATGCATACATATACATATATGTACATATAAACACATATATACACACTTATACATATGTACATATATATTTATACATACATACATATATGGGTGGAAAACGCAGAGCAGATGTTGCATGGGTCTATGGGGATAAAGTGTGTTTGTTTGTGGATATATTTTTGCAGGCGCCCTTGGATTGAAATTCAATTTCGTGAAAAAAAATAATAAATTTATTCACCAGCGAGCCGCAAAGCGATATCATTGCGAAAATTACTGCAATTAAATCATACGAAACGTTTACACTTCTTTAAATTGCATGTGAGAATATATGAGGAAAAATTCTTTTAATATTATATGCTCAACGAAAGAATAATATTATGAAGTCATTTGAACTTTTTTTTTCCTACTTCCGATCTTAATTACTTATACTGAAAACATAGTGGTTGTTAAGGCGAAACGTTGTAAATTATGGAAGCCAAAAATGTATGATAAAATCAGGCAAATTACCTTCGAATCCGAATTATTTTCAAATGTTTCTCTCTGTTTCCTCTTTCCTTCTGTCCCTACCGCAAAACGTTTTCAGCCTAAGTAAAAATGCATCATTTACAACGCACCAACAATTTGCCGTGACGACATTATAGTTCCGCCACTCGACCAAGACGAGATGAAAATAGTTATAAGGCGGCTTAAGAACATAAAAGCCCCAATGGTCGATTGATTCCAGGCTGTGCTGTTTAAAGATGACGGTGAGGAGCTGTAAAGCCGCATGTTCCAGCTGCTAAGTATGAATTGGTCGATTAAACACATCCCAATGATAGGAACAGGAATGTCTTCAGTCTGATACACATGAAGGAAAATCGCGAAGACTGCGCTAATTATCGCCGCATCAGCCTTCTTAACATTGCATACAAGATTCATTCGATAATATTGTTTGGAAGGCTTAAACTCATTTTAAATAAACTGAGTGTGGCTTTCGAACTGGTAAATCCACCATAGACCAGGTTTTTACAATACGTCAAATCCTGAAGAAGGCCCTCAACAAACAGATCGGCGTAATGGGGTTTTGTCTATTTCAAAGCCGCTGTCGATAGCAAGGACAGGGTCAAAAGTGGTTAGTCTTGTGGTGAACGAGGGCAAGACAAAGTACCTGGACACTCAAAAATTCCTCGCGTCTTGGCAACTACGTCACTGTTGGCAGCTATTAATTTGAAAATGTAGGACTTTGTCTATCTTGTCGAACTAGCATAATACCACTTACAATATCTCGATACTAAAAATCAAGCACAGAATAACTCTCGCCAACAGGTGCTACTTTTGGATTGGTACGCAATTGAGAAGCAAATCCAAATAAGGATATGAGAGAACCGTTTTGTCGATCGCGTTATTATGCAATCGCCGAAAATACACTTTACCTACACCTTTCCTCTCCATAATAAAAATAAATTCCAGAATTGATTTTCACTGCTCGACACACCTGCCTGACGAATTAAGTACTACAAAGGTATTTATTTTTAAACCAATGACGCAGTTCACACATACAGACACACATATACACACAGATCAGTTGCGCAACACATTAAGTGTGCATTGTTTATTGCGTATGTGTTGAGAAAAATTTGATTTGCAACACCACAGCAAAGCCATCGGTTGTGGCTGAGTGCGTACCGGATGAAAGGGAATCGAGGGGATTCACCATGTGTCGGCAACTCAACGGAAAAGACATAAAATTTGACGTCGATGCAATCAGTGAAATGGCGAGCGCACCTGTGTTGCGCACCACCAGCGCTAATGTAACGTTTGTGGTGCCAAATAAGCACAAAAACAAAAAGCAAAATCCCAAAAAATAAAAAAAAAGTTCAATAAACAAAGTTGAATAGTATTGGAAGGGAAAAAGAGAACATAATAATTAATATTCGAAAAGAAAAATGATTTGAGTTCTTTCAGATTTTTCACTTTGAAGTGCCGACACACATACACACACAAACACCCATACACATATGGGTCAAAACCAGAAAAATTTAATGAAATTAAAGTTCGAAATGAAAAGGTGCAAGCTGGCCACTCATATTTTAATTAGCTCACCATTCGCTTGTTTATATTTTCATAGGCGATTTTTTTATAGACTCTTTTATTATTTTGCTTCCAAAGCAGTTGGGGCAACAGCTGCTCCGTGCAAATTATATAATTGTTGCCACATATTTGATATGAAATGTGTGTGTATGTGTTGTATGCAGCATATGTTGAAATTGCCTTTGATTTCCGCTTTGATTTTCTTCAACATTAGCCATCCTAAATTTTCCTCACACACACATACACATTCTTACGCCATTGTGCGATTGCAGCGCTTCACTGGTGTTGCATTCAACGTCGCATTCCGCAATCGACAATGGCGGCGAATGCAAAACTTTTACGCTCTAATTAATGTGAAACAAAAGCAAAAATACAAATGCAACAACAGCAACAGTAACAATTTTGCTGACGACAATAGTTTACTGCGTGTCCTTGTACTCATTGCATTGTTGTTGCGCGGATATCTGTTGTTGCATTGTTTATCCTTCGCTGTAATTTGCAATTAAAGCACCGTTATATACGCGGAGTATTTATATAATTGGAATAATAATTGAATTGAAGTGTGTATGTGTGTAAATAATAAACACTCTCAAGGACCATAATTACAAAGCGAATAAAAATTTAATTAATATTAAAAAACAATATCTAAAAACGTTTGATAGATGAAAGTAAAGTTACTCCCAATTAACGGTAAAAAATGCCATTAATAATTACGGCAGGAACATCATTTTAATATTATTATTCATAAAATTTAGCACGAAAGTACTAGATTACCTTAAAATATAGAACATACATGTCGATTATCAGCTGAAAATTTAACAAATCGATGACAGCGCAATACATCGAATTGATCTATCATCGACCTGAACTGTCATCGAGATTTTTTTTGCGTGGTTTCAGGGTGAGGCGCGTTTAAAGTCAAAAATTTTTTCAGAAAATTTCACAAAAAAACTTAATTTTGGTTGCGCCGCAGCTCTAATACCCTACAGAAATAGAAACGTTTTCCATACAAGGATCGATTTTGATCGGTCA